AGGGAGGGAGGAAGGAAGGAAGGAAGGAATGAGGGGAGGTACTGATGGCTCATGTCTGTAATCTAGTTCCTCAGGAGCCTGAAATCTGAGGATCACAGTTAGAAGTCAGCTCAGGCAGGAAAGTGCCAATTAAACATCAGAAAACTGGAAGTGGAGCTGTGGCTCAAGGGGTAGAGTGCTAGCCTTGAGGAAAAGAGCTCATGGATAGTACCCATGCCCTGAGTTCTAGCTCCACAACCAACAAAAAGAGAGGGGGCGGAGGGACATGATTACAAACCAGTACCTTTCAAACCAGTATCTCAGTGCTGGGAATGTGACTTAGTGGTAGAGTGCTTGCCTAGCATGCATGAAGTCCTGGGTTCAATTCCTCAGTACTAGGTAAACAGAAAAAGCCAGAAGTGGCATTGTGACTCAAGTGGTAGAGTGTTAGCCTTGAGCAAAAGAAGCTCAAGGACAGTGCCCAGCCCTGAGTTCAAGCCTCAAGACTGGCAGAAAACAACAACAACAATAAAAATCCTATACCAGTGAACCAATGTCTCAACCTAGTGGATGTGGGCAATGGATTTGGGGGCTTATGGCACCATCCAGACTCCAAGAGCGCTCTCCCACAAATCCGCTGACCTCCCTTTTCACTTCTGGTTGACCACAGGTTATGAAGTCACTGTGCTGGTGCGGGACGCATCCAGGTTGCCGTCTGAGGGGCCCCAGCCGGCCCATGTGGTCGTGGGTGACGTTCTACAGGCCGCCGATGTGGACAAGACGGTGGCCGGACAGGAAGCCATCATTATCCTCCTGGGCACTGGCACTGACCTCAGTACTGAGCCCCCCCTGTGCCCACGGCCCACCCCTGCACCGCGGCCCCCAGCACCAGTCCCACCCCCAGCCCCTCCCCTGCCACCCCTGCCACCGCCGCCGCCACCCAGCAGTGACAGCCACTCTCTGTCCCCTCTAAGGTCCCACGACTGTGATGTCCCAGGGCACCCGGAATATAGTGGCGGCCATGAAGGCGCACGGAGTGGACAAGGTCGTGGCGTGCACCTCGGGTGGGTGGTGGGTCCTGGAGGTGGGGCTGAGTTGGGGAGTGCAAACCGCGCTGGTGAGCCAGGGCTCTCGCATTTCCAGCATCTGTTGAGCACCAAGTGTGTGCCTTGACCTGTGTGCTGGCTGACTCAAGGGACAAACTGTTGGCCAGTTGAATGTGCTTGACAGAGCTCACAGAGGGGTTCCAGGTGGTGACCCCATTATGGATGGATGTCCATTATACCATCAGATGTCTTGGGGGGCTGGGATGTAGCCAAGGCCCAAGTGCTTGCCTGGCATGCATGAGGCCCTGGGATCCATTCCTAGCACTGAAAGGAAAGAAAGAGAAAAGGAAAAAAAAAAAAGCTTGAGCCAGTGGCTCATGCCTCTAATCCTACCTATTCAAGAGGCTGAGATCTGCAGATCGCAGTTGGAAGCCATCTTGGCAGTTGGAAGCCATCTTGGACAGGAAAGTCT